CTGGCACAGGATTTGGAAAGTATGGTACACACAAGGCCTACCCAACTGCACTACCCGATGACCTCAAGCTGTTGCTGAGGGATCAGTTTGCAGATGCCTTGAACAGTCTACAACTGAAGATAAAAGTAAAGCAGCACACCCCTCCACTATGCAGGATGCAATGGCCAGAGCTCTTGAATTCGAATCCTACATTAAGTCCAGCACAGAGGTACCAAGGTTGGTACAGTCATCAGGATTCAAGGCCAGAAAAGGGAAGCTTTCAGAGAAATTTGAAACCTGGCCACAAGAGTGCTCAATGCCGGCAAGTTCAACACAGGGAAGATGCCACAGCAGGAAAGACTGCTACTCAGAAAGGTTGTTGGAACTGTGAAGAGCAAGGACATATGAAGAGCCAGTGTAAGAAGAAAACTATCAATAAGTCAGCTTTGGGAAACCAGTAGTGATTGGTGCTGGGGACGCCCACCAACCCCCATCGTGAAAGTCCCAACACTTAAGTGTAAAATGGCAAGCACACATAGTGTCTACATGACAGGAAAGCTGGATGGCCAAAAGTGCAACTTTGTCATAGATTCTGCATCTCAGCAAACAGCAAGGACATTATGCAAGTTTGTGGGGACCAGTGTGGGTAACTATTGAGCTCATGGGCATAAAGGACAAACACAAAGTATACTTGGCTGACATTGAAGACCAATGCATATTAGGGTTGGACTATTTACTTCCGAGGAAGTGTGTAGTTAACTTTGATAAAATGACGTTTGGGAACAACAAAGGCCAAATTCCGGTAAATGTTGCTGCATCTGTTGATTTGCACATCACAACACTCAAGCCAACTACAATACCTCCTTGTCAGAGAAAATAATTTGGGGTAGAATAAAAGAACATCCCCAAAGAAGCCTGATGCTTGTGGAAGACCCATCCAGGCCAGCAGACGTGAAGATTGGAAGGTCACTTGTGGCAGATCATCAAGTAGTGCCCATAACAGTGGTTAATTTCTCTAAATGGCAACAGACACTTAAGGAAGGGACATTGTTGAGTGTGTGCCAAGAGGTAGAGCTAGTCAATGTCAAGGCAAGAAATACGACCATAAAGAAAGGACATCCTTTCCCAAAACATTTAACTGACCTCTATACGAAGAGTATAGTCCATTTGTCATCATCACAGACTCTTCAAGCTAGGGAAATTTTGGCAAATTATACAGCCGTCTTTTCAAAAGGAGATCATGACCTCGGCTGCACAGACCTCATGGAGCACAGAATAAACACAAGCAATCACCATCCAATAACGATCCCTCCAATGAGAATAGCTCCAGCAAAGTGATAAGAGAAGGATAAGGTTATAGATGGCCTAATTAAAGAAGAGATAGTCGAGAAATCAGATAGTCCCTGGTCAGCTCTCGTCGTGTTAGTCCAGAAGGAGGATGGGACCCAACGTTGCTGTGTGAACTTCAGGGCTCTTAACAGTATAACTGAAAAGGACTCATACCCGCTGCCAAGAATTGATGATACTCTCGATGCCCTAAGTGGAGCCAGGTGGTTTTCAATTCT